ATAAGCTGGTCAGATAAATGAACGATTGTTTCCGTACTGTCCTTTCTTGCTTTTTATATATACTGTGAGTGCCCAATTCTCCAAACCTACCTTCCTCATTAATTCCAAGAAATGTCATCTGTCTACTTTTTATTCTGAATTGTTTTCATTTTGTTGCCATTTTCATTAAGACTTACGTGCTCGGTTAATTTTACTTTTGGAAAGCATCAAACTAACTATACGAACAAAAATGATCAGCTAGATGACATGCTACTTATATTCCATTTCGCTTCAGAATGTTAGTGATCATGACTCTCCATAATCTCTTGTCACTGAAAGTAACTTTTGAACTATAAGCGTCCCAACTTCTTGCAAATTCAGACATTCATACAAAGCTTCCTAGTTGCTTATTTATCCTTCTATATAACCTGTGAATTTTAAATTCTCCAAGCTTTCTTTCCTCATTACATATCCCAGATATTTTCCTTAAAATCTCCTTATTGTTCACATGTTCTGTCCAAGTTATTCTCAGTATTCGCCAAGCGAAGTTCTTTTCTGTTGCTTTGATCCTCTTCTTTACCTATGGGAAGATTGTCCAGCATTCACTATCATATAGAAAATAAAAAATACATAGAATTTCAGCGCACATTTCTTTGTTCTGACGAATTTTTCTGTTACTTAATATTTTGCTTAATTTCTGGAAGGCATTTTTCATTACTTCAGATTTCTGAGTCAACTGATTCGTCCTATTCGTAAAACTAACCATAGTTTAGATAAGAATGATCTCGAACAGAAAATAATATTAAGTGTTCCTAGAAATAGGACTTAAGAGAGACCGTTCCAAAATAGAAATTCTGATCAGGAATTGGAATAAAAGCAGTGCATACCCTGAATCTCTATCTATAAAAGGCAGGCTGTGTGTGTGTGTGTGTGTGTGTGTGTGTGTGTGTGTGTGTGTGTGTGTGTGTGTGTGTGTAACGAATGCACGGCCGCAATTTTCGACCGATTTGCACCAAAATTTACATGCACATGCTCCAAGTCAGCGGGAAGGCCAAGACCGACTTTGCATTTCCTAACTCCCATCGATAGTGGAACTAGTCAATTTTTTCATACTTCTACGGCAGTTTTCATGTAGTGTGCGGTCATTTTCTACGGACCAGTTTGAGAGCCTATAGCTAGCTGCCAAATAGGCAGGAAGATTCTATTGGATAGCGTGAGAGCCAACAGCTGACTGACACGAATGTTAACTAGCATGCTAGCATTAAAAAAAATCGATAGTTGCATTCGTCACAAGTGGGAAAAATGTAAATCTGCATGGCACTTTACTCCAATTGGCTCATTCGCTTGTTTAAACTCAACGTTGATTCTGATTCCGCAGAACTGGGTCGGGTGTGAAAAAGTATTTTTTTCATTCGGTTTTTCCATTTACGAGTCCTTTTTTAAAGCTGATCGTTTTGTGTTTATTTTGTTTAGTTCTTTTTTCGCAACAGATTTAATGATTAGTATAGCGCTTAGAAAAAATTCGCAGTGTGAGATAGGCAAGAAGTAAGGCATGTAGCAACATCAGCACGGCAAAGGGCACTCCTTTAAAGGCAAGGAAGGGCAAAAATATTTTAAGTCAAGTGATAGTGATTGCTGTATTAGTCGTACGATTTTTTAATCAAGCACGGGCAATGCAGGGCCATGCTGCTAGTCTGTCCATAAAAAATCAGGATGTTGATTTTGTAAATATTAAACACTTCAAAACTTTCAGTGAATGAATCAGCCACAACAAATTCAGTAAAAGAGATAAGAAAACTGAAAATAGAATAAACTGCGCTAAATTTAGTTTTTCCCAACACCACTAGTTGCAAGGGAGACAAAACATTAACCGGAAAACTCGTGCCATGTTTTTAAATAGCCTCGTCTGATCAAGAATTGGCGACAAACTCGTTTAAAAATATCTGAACTGTCAACTATATAGAAAGGCTTCAAAAATGGATTTGAGCAAGTGAAGCCGGTGGATCCGGATAAATACTACACTTCGTCAAACCTTGTAAAATGGCGCCAGAGAATCACAAAGACCTGTACCAAATGAAGGAAACGGCATAGCATATGCGGCGAAAATGTTCAATGCGCCGCAAGAGTCCAGTGCGAGCAAAGTGCCATTACATATAGATGCTCAATTGTTGCACATATGACCGGGGGGGGGTGAGAAGTGTTAATATGACCGTGTACTGTCATTAATTTCGCAAGGAAGTCGAACACTCCACGATTGCAAGACAGGAATAAAGATAACGTACAATACTTGCATGAGCCAAGAAAAAAAATTCAAATAATTAATATTCAAAGTTTACAAAAAAGGGGACAGATTAAATTCACTTCAACTAAAAGTAATTTTGAAAAAAAGCATTAGTACCAAGAAAAAAATGTGAATAGATAAATAAAATGATTAAGAATTAAATTCAAAGAAAAATACAAAAATCTCGAACCTTGTGAAATGGCTCTACAGAATCACAAAGAATTGTACCAAATGAAAGAATATATATATATATGTGTGTGTGTGTGTGTGTGTGTGTGTGTGTGTGTGTGTGAGAAAAGTGTATATAAATATAAATAAATATATATATGTATAATTATTTATATATTATATGCGCGGTACTTATTAGAAAGCGCTCAATATCAGAGAAAGAGCTAACATATTTGGTTGGATAGATGTGAGTTTGTGACCCTGACTTTCACGCTTTAGCGATCGTCAGACAAACTGATTACATTTTAAAAAATTTGGCTTTATGTAGATTGCGTGTATTGGTGTTATTATGGAAGTGGTGGAGGAAATTTCGTCGCTTACGTCATCGTACTAACGCAAACATCGATGTATGCAGCCACATATACATACTTGGTCGTCCGTCGGGACTCATACATATATAAACATATGTGGGCAGTTTCGGATATGACACATGTATGTATACGGGTGGTGTTATATCTATACATACGCATTTGTATGTTGAAATGTTGAAATTTAAACATTGGAAGTGTGGCGGAAATGTCTCGTGAATGTTTCGTGAATGTATACATGTCATATTATGTATTTTTCCGCTGAATATTTCCTCGCATATATGTATATACGTGTGGTGGGGTTTTGTAAAATTATGATAGGTAAAATTATTATTATTTATATTTATTTTTAAATTTTGAAAAAAAAAATGGGGTTTATTTGTTATATTTAAAGCTGGTTATTTGTTTGTTTTTTGGTGATTGTGTATATGTAACAGGTAGAAATTTGTAATCCTTATTGGTTAATTTATATGGTGATGTTTAATATTTAATGTGCTGGGTGAGATGGTAGTTTAATCTAATAACGGGTCTATATGATATGATATGATAGTAATGTTGCAAGGGATTGGAGACAGTGATAAAATAATAGGTAATAGTTATTGTAAATTGGTAGAAATTGTAAATTGGTAGAAATGATTAGTAACGGTGGTGGGAGAATGATAAAACCATGAATGTAGTTATAGTGGTGATAGCTAGTGGTGGTAGCTTGAACTAAAAAGTGGTTGTTGGTGTTTTATTTTATTTTATTTTATTTTGATATATGTATTAATTTATTTTGGTATAAATCCTGATAATAGGTATTCTGTGTAAAATTATGGTAGTTGAAGATTGCTATAATTTTTAATTTTTAATTTACAAAATTATTATTGTTATTATATTAAAGCTGGTTATTTCCTTGTTTTTTTTTGGGTTTTTTTTTTGTGACTGTGTATATGTGACTGAGAGAAATTTCAGTTTGTAATCCTTATTGCTTTTTTATGGTGGTATTAAATATGCTGGGAGAGGGGGTAGTTTACGTTAATAATTACGGCAGGATTATATGGTAATGGTAGATGTGGTGTGATAGTAATATGTAAGGGGGTTGGTGGCAATAATAATATAAGTGGTCAATATTTATTGTAAATTGTTAGTAGTGATTAGTAATGTTGGTGGGAGAATAATAAAAACCTATAAATGTAATTATTGTGGGGCTAGCTTGAACTAAAGAGTGGTTGTTGGTGTTTTATTTTATTTTATTTTCTATATTTATTTGTTTAAAAAACCTAAAGCTCTTATTCAGATATAGTCTCGAATGATACTGACAAAACTGAAAAAAGAAACGGAAAGAAATGCTCAAATGCGAACTTCCTTAATCAGTAAATAAAGTGATCAATGCCCGGATTGACGAGACCGAACAAAAAACGCTTACCAATGTTAAATCCTATGAAAGGACGGCTCTAGTCGTAACACGAAGGTCACGTTCACGAGCTACGACTAGAGCCATCCTTCATAGGATTTAAAGTTAGTTATATATATATATATATATATATATATATATATATATATATATATATATATATATTCTTTTGTTACCTGTTTTACTTTTCTTATTTTCTCGTTTTCTTACCTCCTAAATTTCCCTTTCACGTACTATACTTCACCTCCTTTCCTTCGCGTTACCCAATTCCTTCAAGGTTTGGTTTGGTTTCTTTTACGGCATATCAACCTCAATGCGTCATTTAATTCCGACAAAATTTCTATTGCTAGTAATATTTTTTTACTCAGAATTCTATTGCTGGAAATATTTTTTTCCTTCAAAAATTTATTGTCGGAATTTTTTTTTTCAAAAACGTATTGCTGGTAATAATGTAGCACTTGTAATATTTTTTTTCTTCAAAAATTCATTGCTGTTATAATTTTTACAAAAATGTATTGATGGTATTAAGATCTATTTTTCCACTTTCATAGTGTTTTGACCCCAGTTTAGGAGTTAACTCTTTACCCCTAGCATGGACTCTAACAGGTGCTACCACTCCGGGTCAGGGTGGACCTAGGAACAACAGCAATTAAGAGGTGGTTTTCACGGTCCTCAAAACTTCCTGATCAGAGGCGTTGCTGTTGGATGTAGTTTATTGTCTTACCCAGGACGAAATTCCTTAACTATTATTAAGTATGTTTCTGGTTTAGAAAGCATAGCTAATCGTATAGATTTTCCAATCTGAAATATGGTTAGGTAATTGGTGTAACTTAATAGTACTTTCCTCATCATTTTAGTAAGATTGGCAAATATTTAAAAGAATTCTATTCATCGCATGAATGATGAGAATACGTCTTTTCCGTCTTGCTTTAGTTCTGAATAATTCATATTAAACTTTTGCTTAAATGCCAAGATTAATGAATAGAAAAATTACGAATGGCCAATGTTAAGTTTCACTTTTTTTCTCTCCTACCAAATTATTAATTAACACTTTACATTCTCGCTTCTTTCATGCCTTATATTTGTGATATTTAAGCGCCATTACTATCGAAACAAGAAACTCAGGAAACACCAGCCTCGTTTCCAATCGACACGCCATATTTCCCAGCATTCCTTTCGTCCATTCTTTGTTTGTCCCTCCGCAGATCCAACGTTTTACGACAATGCAATCTGCTGAAAGCAATCGAACGAAACAGAATAACACTGATCGTAGGAAACTAATCCTTCGTTTCCTTTTGATACAGGATTTGGATCAGAGGCTTTTTTTTTTCTTTTGGCGGGGTTGGGCATTTGTACGAGGCCTGAAGATTTCCCGTAACGGTAATTCTTCTGAGATTTGCGTGTGCTTCATACGGCAGGTAGAAAACATCGAATGCATGCTATGAACATTTCCACATCTTATTCTCTCTTTGTTTTCTTCTAGTCTGTAAGGCAGTTAGGTAAAAATAGCTTCTAAATGTCTGGCCAGTGGTTTTTAAATATTCTTAAAACTGGAATTGTTCTTTTAAGCCGCGACAGAGAATAATCCGATAATACATCTCTTTCTTCTTCTTCATTTCTTCTTCTTCTTCTTCTTCATTTCTTCTTCTTTTTCTTCTTCTTCTTCTTCTTCTTCTTCTTATTATTATTATTATTATTATTATTATTATTATTCTCCGTCTTCTTCTACGTCTTCTAATTCTTCGTTTTTTCTACTTCTTTTTCTACTGATCCTTCATCTTGTACGTACTCTTCTTTCCCTGTGTCGTCGTCGTCTTCTTCTTCTTCTTCTTTCATCTTTTTCTACTTCTTCTTCGTCTTCCTCTACGTCTTCTACTTCGTTTTTGTATACTTATTCCACTGCTTCTTCGTCGTTTTCGAACTCTAGTTCCTCTTCTTCTTCTTCTTCTTCTTCTTCTTCTTCTTCTTCTTCTTCTTCTTCTTCTTCTTCTTCTTCGTCTTCCTCTACGTCTTCTACTTCGTTTTTTATACTTATACTACTGCTTCTTCGTCGTTTTCGAACTCTAGTTCTTCTTTATCTTCTTCTTCTTCTTCTTCTTCTTCTTCTTCTTCTTCTTCTTCTTCTTCGTTTTCTCCTACTTCTTATTCTTATTCTTCTTCTATTTCTTATATTTATTCGTTTTCTACGTCTTGTACTTCTTCGTTTTTTCTATTTCTTTTCTACTACTTCTTCGTCGTTTTTGAAGTCTACTTCCACTGTGCCTTCTTCTTCTTCTTCTACTGCTTCTTCGTCGTTTTCGTCTTCTACTTCCTCTTCGTCTTCTTATTCCCATATTATTGTTAGTATTAGTAGTAAGAGCGGGCATCGTATCTGCTGTCAGCGATCAAAGTGCAATTGGCAAAGCAGGTACAAATCCTGGCCAAGTTTGTCACATCCACTTTATCCCTTGGAAAGGCAGGAATCTATCACTTCTTCCTCGCGTCGGCTATGAATTGAATATCAGGGCACACTGTGCCCACCCAGACGAGAGTGGCAACCATTCTACAAGGAGAATTCTGGGTTTGCAAATGATAGAGAAATCACCACAAAACTGGTCCACTATATTTCTATCTAGGCTGAATAAAAATAATAATTCCCCCAAACAGATTCTAATATTAACGCTTAGACATTCTTTCATTTAGTCAACCCTAAATCGTTTATCCAGTTCATAATTCCACTTAATTATACCTTTTAATTAACTCTTTCTGTGGATATTTGAGTGATTGATGATCCGATCTCTGTTTTCTCATAGTCGGCATTTTCGATTTTTTTCTCTATCCTGTCTCTGTTGATTTTGATCTAATTGGTTATTATGATGATATTCGGGCGTGGCAATAATAATGATTCCGTTTTTTTTTTTCTGAAAATGACATCTGCGCACCCATTACCATGTTGGTCTCTCTGTAATTCCTTTAATTTGTCATCTGTCATGGTGATTTTCTAAGCAGAGCTTAGGTGTGGCAAAGACCAAAAATATCGGGCACCCACTGAGGAAGGAACTAACTAGTCGGTCGTAATTGATCAGGCCAGACAGGCTTGAAAATCATTGAAGTGCTAAATAATTTACTAAGCATAACTTTGATCTTGCCGGAAATTTGGAGTACCCAATGAGGATTGAATTCACTTCTCAGTCATAATTGTTTTTGCAAGACAAGCTTGCTAACCATTACACCACATCGATGCACAATGATTTTCTAAGCGTAGCTTTGGTGTGGCACAAGGCCGAAAATGTGGGTACCTATTGAAGATCGAACTAACTACTGAATTATAATTGTTTTAGCAAGAAAAACTTGCTAACCATTATACCACATCGAGGTCTCTAATGAATTTCTAAGCTACGCTTAGATGTGGCACATGTCCGAAATTGTGGAACACCCAGTGAGATTCGAACTCACTACTCAGTCGTAAATGATCTAGCAAGACAAGTTCGTTAACCATTGCACCATGTCAAAGTGCTCAATGATTTACTAAGTATACAACAGATGTGACCCTAAGTATGCAGCACCAAGTGAGACTCGAACTAACTACTCAGTCGTAAAAGCTCTCGCAAGACAAATTTGCTAACCATTACAACACGTCGAGGTGCCCAAAATGATTTTCTAAGCATAGCTTGAATGTGGCACAAGGCCGAAAATGTGGAGCACCCAGTGAAGATCGAACTTTTTGCACAGTTGCAATTAACTTAGTGAGACAAACTTGCTAACCGTTGCACCACATCGAGCTTTTCAATGATTTTCTAAGCGTAACTTAGATGTGGCACAAGGCCGAATGCGTGGAGAACCCAGTAAGACTCGAACTCACTACTCAGTTGTAATTGATCTAGCGAGACAAGCTTGCTAACCACTCGATTCATTTTCCAGTTTTATTTCTCTCTTGTTTCTTAGTACTTTATTCACCATCTGCTAATTCTATGTTATTATTATTGTTAATATTAATGTTATCGTTATTATTATTATTATTATTATTATTATTATTATTATTTCTTTTGTTCTGTCCATCACTTTCATTGGTCGCGTTTTTAATATCATGAAAAGAAAAGTGAAAGCGCCATGTTGGTTCCATCATGTTCATACTGCCTCCTTATTCACAACAAAACCATCACAGCTCTTTAGACATGCTATTTAATATATGAAATCTATAAGGCAACCTTCTTTTTCTCGTTTGAATTCTATTATTTTTTGTTTATTTATGTATTTATTTATTTATCGTCATTTTATTTGGCTGCTTTATTGCCTTCTTATTCGTCTTTTATTTATCTGTCGAGTATGGCTCCGTGGTCGTCTGCGCGCCAAACACGAGATTCTCTGCCATAACGTCCAACTGAAAATAACTTCAATCAAGATTATGAATAACGTTACAATCTGTGCGCAGACATATTAACGAACATGCGCGTTTGTTCAGGTTTTGCTGACTGCGCAGATGCGCACGCATACGTTTTTAGTTTCCGTTTCTTTCTTTTTAATTCATTTTTTTTCCGTCTTTTGGTTCAAATATTTTTTTTTCTTCTATTGATATAAATTCATTTATACTCTCAAGAGAAAATATTTGTCTGTTGAGTGTATTTTTGGAATAACCTGTCTTAAATAAATTTTTATATCTACACACATGTATGAGTATGTTAGCCTCTGACCCAGTTATACGTACATATATGCACTTCTGCATATATTTACATATCCCTTTTCGATTTAGACTAACATAAACCCATCTCTTTCTCTCTCTCTCTCTCTCTCTATCTATCTATCTATCTATCAGTCCAATTGTCTGTCTATCTATCTATCTATCTATCTATCTATCAGTTCAATTGTCTGTCTATCCCTATCTATCTATCTATCTATCAGTCCAATTGTCTGCCTATCCCTATCTATCTATCTATCTATCTATCTATCTATTTATCTCTCTCTCTCTCTCTCTCTCTCTATATATATATATATATATATATATATTAAATGTGCAATTTACTTTAGTAATTCCTCATATATATATGTGTGTGTGTGTGTATGTGTGAGTGTGTGTGCGTGTGTGCCGCATGAGATTAAAGCCAGGAAATACAAGATTTCGAGAATCGACTTTAATTCTGATGAAAAATCTTTGTTCTAAGTAGATCTGTGGTTACCCCCTATATACACTGGGCTCGACTCAAGTAATACCAATTCAGACTTTGCACTCAGTGTTACAATAGAATCTCAAAGAAGCCAGACGCAGACGGATTAGCGAATCAGATGATCATCTCCTCGTCACCAGGTGCAAATTCGCGCCTTCCTTGCATATCATTAGCTGCCTTCGATATATAAAGAGGTGGTCGATCTAGCTGCGTTTAGAATGTCGATACGTGGGATAACCGGACGACAGGTAGATATATAAGCACGCCACCCAGGTGGGAAGAGTGCAAGAATCTTTGACATCCTCACGAAACGAAGAATCAGTGTTCAGAAATAAAACACAACACCCCACAGCCACTCGCCTATGTTAATTGATTAAGTCTGTAAGCTTACAGTACCAGGTGTTCCCAAGCGGTCCCCCATCTAAGTACTGACCTGGCTCTACGCTGCTTAACTTCGGTGATCGTACGAGAACCGGTGTTTCAGCGTGATTTGACCGTAAGCATATAACAATACACCATGAACAAGACAGCGATAGTCAATAAAATGGAGAAAAAAAACGTGTTTATTCTTTCTGCGCGTCCCAATATCAAATGGCCTACGGCTAGGTACTAGTCCGCGCCCCAGTGGTTGAGGGTCGCAGATCTAGAGGAGTGAGTGGCGCTCTGCAGGGTTCGATGATCAGATCAAATTCTAACTTCATCCAACTGAGGGTCGTTTTCCTACTCTTGGTAGAGCAAGGGATCGACCTCTTCCACAGTTTATTCACTACCGGCATACGGGCATATCTGCTTTTTTGTCTGTGTGCAATCTGAGTTTTGAAATAAGTAAACTTACTCCCGAACGCGCATCGGATTATCGAAAGAATAATTCCAAAATATAAACAAAGTTCTAAGAAACAGGAAAATTTCGTTAGAAGCAAAGAAAAAAAAAGTGTTGAATTGCTATGTATCTGCTTGTATGGCAGCGAATGCAGCACACTCTCCTCAGAAATAGGGAGGGAACTGGAGGCAGCAAGAACATAGTTCTACAGAAGGATACTGTGAATGACATGGAAAACTTCCACAAAGTATACCTAGGTCAAATGAGATAGGGGAAGTCGTCGAGACACGTGTAAGATTAAAGGCTGGTGGAACGGTGTCGAGAAACGCTGCTAAGGGACATGTGGGATAGGAAGTTGTAAAGAGCCATGATCACGCACTTCTTGAATGGAAACGACGCACAATAACATATCGCTATGTTCATTTCCCCAATATAAATACATAATTTAATAATAGCGAGACAACCCATAAACCTGTTGGGTTTCATTTAAATGCAGTTCATAATACGAAATGAGGTAAAAATATTATCAATTCTATTATTATTATATTACACATTATAATTTGTATTTACAATACAAGTTATAGTAATAATTATTATTACTCATATGGGTGTTCCATAAGTTTGGACTCTATTCTATCGCTATTTCAATGGCAAGTATTCTAACGAACTACATTCCTTGGTTCCGTAAATACACTTGAAAAGGTATGAATTTAACTCTTTCCCCCTCCCCTCGATCCCTGCTAGGGGTCAATAGCAAGAAAGACTGCCCTGTTGCCTTGGTTCGCAACGAGTCTAGGAGAAAGTTAAATGTGAATTCAAATCCACTTGCATTTAGGTCTACTAATTCCACTCTGTAAAGCTACGTTTTATGGAAGCAAAAAACAGTAACATGTAATGTGGTGATGCCGCGATCCGATTAACAACAGTAATGGAGCCTATGTAATTCCGGCTGAGAAGCTACAAATCTTTGGCACGGAATTTAGAATGTGACTACATTTCGTTTAAATATTAAATATTTTTCTCTTCAAAATATGTGTCCTATAACGCAGTTGGGAATAAGAGGCACCATATTTACTGCAGCCATAGAGGCACCTCGAGGCGGTGTAGTGGTTAGTAAGCTTGTCTCGCTAGAACAATTACGACTGAGTAATGAGTTCGATTCACACTGGGTGCCCCATACTTTCTGCCTTGTGCCACATCTAAGCTACGCTTGGAAAATCCCTATTTACTGCAGCGATAGCAGTAGTGATGTGTCTAGAGCAGTGTTTCCCATCGTGGCAACTAGCGCCCCCTTGTGGGCTCTGTTATGCTGAAAGGGGGAACTGGGAGTTTTTATTTCATTTGGTGGACGATGAACAAACTCATTCCATTTTTTTTTTCAAATTTAAAACAATTATACAACATTGGCTCCAAAAGAAAATATTTAAATGTATCTAAGCCTGCGGGAATCCATTAAACTTTTCTTCATTGCTGTTCCAACTTCCTATATAGCTGAATGCGGTTTCAACGCAGTTACAGAGCATCTTACTCAACAAATAAACCGCTTGCAAATTACAAAACGCGGAGAATAATGATTATTTCTAAACAGAACGGAACCTAATGTAAGAGCCTTAGCCAGTAGACATCAAAGTCAACCATCGTATTGAAAACATTGAGATAAGCTGCCAAAAAGTTTTTTAGCATTTTCATGAGTACCATTTATAACAGAAATGAAAACAATATCAAAGTTGTTTTTCTTAAGTGTTATCTTGCCATGAAAAATGAATCTAGTATAATATTCGAAATTTAATTTGACAGCGGGGAGCGTTGACACAAACGTCGGTACCTCAAAAGGGCACTTGTTGAAAAAAGGTTGGGAAACATTGGTCTACAGTAAGATAAAAGGCAGCACAAACTACTTCAGGCTGGTTTGAATTCAGATTTTTTTCTTCGACACTGGTGACCGCCACAAGGCAATATAGCCTGTAGTAGTTCTTGCATTTTTCTACACAAAGCGGATGTTGACCACTCGACGAACCAAAGCAGAATGTGGAAATACGTTTTCTGCGCATACGCTTCACGCATAAATCCGCTTTAACCAAAATAAAACGAACAATTCATTGATCAGACAGGGACTCTCTCGCTCTTAAAACTAAAGCTTTACTTCGGAGCCGAAAGACGGCTATATATTCTCTAATTCAAACAAACCTGGGTAAGACCAGCTTCGATGTCAACACTGGCAAGATGAGAGAAGCGACACAAACCAGCCTTCACAACACCGACGCGCTGAGAGAGAGAGTAACAACGACAGCCATTAGAAAATTTTATTTCACTTCTAAATTCATCTTTCTTTCTCCCTGTTACCTTAGCAACAGATAGAAGTTTTGTATATCTATATAAATCAGAGGTCAGTTCTCCCACGAATTTTAACACCTCAACTCTATTTATTTTTACAGACGGTGTTTACTCTGTCTCCCCTCTAAGAGGGGATCCGGCACAAGGTTAGTTTTTTTTAGGTGGGGAACGGAACACGTACACCCCGGCTAGGAACAAAAATATCCCGGGCCCCCGAAATCGTCAGTTGCCTTGGCCTCAGTGCGAGCACCGATCCCTCTCTCTAATGCAATCAGAGAGCACGGCTACGGGCAGCTGCTCCCCATGGCCGGCATCTCTCAATATAATTTTCCTCATTTGCGACTCTGTCCCTTGACGGAGTCGCCCCCTGAGTGCACTCGGCGCAAGGACAGAGACGCAACTGAGGGATGATAAATAAATGTGCTACAAACCACTCCAAGGAGTAATTTACACGCAGTATTTACTGTCTCCCCTCAGAGACGTGTGACACAAGGTCTTTTTAAGGTGAGGACCCGAGTGATAAATTAGGTGTTACAAACCACACGAGAGAGCAATTTGTATGATATTTACTTGATCCCCCCACTGAATCAGGTTGTGACACAAGGTCAGTTTTTAACGTGAGGACCTGAGTGTTTTCACTCGGGCCCCTGGTCTCAGCTGGTCTTAGCTGGTCATAGCTTGTCCAAGCTGGTCAGAGCTGGTCTAAACTTGTCATAGATGGTCTTGGCTTGTCATAGATGGTTCAAACTTGTCAGAGCCGGCCCAAGCTAGTCATAGCCGTAATACTACCAGTACAGGGACGGAGTGCGTACACCCCTCCAAGAAGGAATTTACACGGAGTTTACTCATTCCCCCACGAGAATGAGATGTGACACAAGGTCGGATTAATTTGGGGACCCGAGCACCTGCACCCGGGCAGGGACAAAAATTCCCCTCAGTCCCGGCAACCATTGGTTGCGCTGGCCTCGGTGCGACTACCGATCCCTCCCTCTTATGCAGTGAGAGGAGCGCGGCCTCAGGCAGCTGTTTCCCAGGGCTGGGCACCTCTCAGTATTATTTTCTCTGTTTCCCCTCTGTCCTTTGACAGAGAAGCCCCTGAGCGCACTCTATCCAAAGACAGAGATGCAACTGAGAGATTATAAATGCGAAATCCCTCCAAAGAGGGATTTACTCGCTTGCATTTATTTTTAAGCACTAAAAATTATCTGTATTATATATTATCGACTTCCAAGCAATATCACTTTTCAGGTTTAACTCATTTTAAAAAAGTATATTTCATTAATTAACTGTCTTTCATTATTGTTCTTATATTCGAGGATTGTTTTGATTTTTATATCAAAAAGAGTTCTGTTTAGGAATATTGCCTTATATAGTGAAGGAAAAAAATTGAAATTTGTATTTCTCTTAACCTTCAACAAGTTGGCATCTATTTGTAAATTTGCTCTTTCCTTAACTATAACAAACCTGCCTCCACACCTGAGCAATTAATTTCTTCTGTCTTTACAGTCATATTCTTTGAACAAATATATTAAATGTCCACAACCCTTCAACATTTCATCAATAGTGAACGTTAATCACATAGAAAAACAACTAATTTTACCTAGAAAAATTACAGTTATTTTTCTAAGGTAAACATCAGTTTATATATCTAGCGTCAATAATTAGCTGTTTTTTTTTTTTACATAAGTTACAGTGTGAAAATTCGATAAACTACATTCTACCAAAATGGATTTTTCTGAGTAAGTAGAAGAAGCAATAAAAGCAAACAATATTCTATACACAAACGTATCCCTGCCTCAAAAGAAAATATAAATTGTAAATAAATTATATATTTATTTACCCGTACTTGATTTTTTTTTTATTTGATACGTTTACCAATGTGGAGAAAAAATTAACCTCCACAATATTAACAAAAACAACAACAAGGTTCTATCGTCCCTGTTACCCATTTCCGCCTCAGCAACAAGTGGTAATCCTGACGTTTCGAGTCATAGCAGCCTCATCAGGAATATGCGGAAACTTAAGTACACCAAGGCAATGAGTTCACACGGCGACATGTTAGAAACACCATTAGAGATAAATTCATCAGTCCTTCAATTACCATCATACAATCAACACAAAGACTTGGTTGCTCCACATCCAGGCTATTTTTGCTGCCAGAGGAATACGTTCACAAAAAATAAAATTTGCCAGAGTTATCCAAGCTTTGCTTCCTGACGTCTTCAACGAAATCGCCGACCTATTGGAAGACGTTCTCGACATTGACCCGTACAACGTCCTTACAACTGTCATCATTAAAAGGACAGATCACTCGGATGAACAAATGCCGAGGGAACTACTCAATAAATATAAATATCGAAAACAGAACACCCTCGGGTACATGAAAAGTGGCCTCAGAGTGAACAATATGTCGGAATTGACACTACGTCACCTCTGGTTGGATAAATTGCGAGAGACGGAGAAGGAATTAACCTCCACGACAGTAACAGCAACAGCATGATTCTGTCTTCACGGTTACCCATTTCCGCCTCTGCAATAGAGTCGTTTAACCTGAGGAAGCCTGATCCATGCTTTTTCCAAGGGTGATAAAGCGAAGTGAACGAAACAAAGCCATGGCTTGAAACCGTCACGCATAATTTAGTTGGCGTCCCCTCTCTCAAAAAATGTTTTGTTTAAACCTATTTTTGCCGATTGTTCTTTCGCGTGTTGGAGTAAAAAAATGTCCTAATCATCTGTCATAGCAAGCTTGAACATTCATGACGCATATACACCACCACATAATTGTTCTGCATCAAATTCGGGAGGTCATTCGAGGGACAATCCATTATCTGGGCATAGCTGGTCAATATATGTTGTTACTGTTCGACCGATTTAGGTGCAATGTGTCCAAGGGCCGAGAACACAAGTGGCTGGCTATATTGCGTTAAGCCCGTTAGTACAGGCTCGAAATAATATGTCATCGGCGAATTCGCATTGATGACGAAATAAAAGAATTAAATGTATCAGAAATGAAAGAATTTGAAGGGAGAAAAAGAAATAAAAACAAAAGAAAGAATTAGGGAGGTATTTGAAATCAGCCTTCATGCCAACATCGACACGCTGAGAGAAGGTAACAACGGCAGCCATTAGCAAGGCTTATTTCACTTCTAATTTCATCAGTCTCTCACCCTGTTGCCTTTCTGATATAATTCTTTCTTGTTATTTCTTTCTTTGTGCTATTTTCTTCGATAATGGATTTTTTCTTTCGTCTCTTTTGTATTGAACAAGGATACAAATAAACAGGAAATAAAAGAAAAACAACGCAAATATATATCCAAAAAGATAATTAAATAATTACAACAGGAACGTACGATTGAAAGAAAGAAGCAAACAAAAGAAAGAAAGGGTGATTTTTAAAAAGTGGGAAAAAAATCACCAATTAATTAAAAAAAAACAAAAAAAAAACAAATATACATAACTAAATACCGAAAAAAAAGTTGTAAATAAAGAAAATCCCAGCATTGCTAATTGATTAGGGGATCCACAGTATCAATCGTCCCTAAAATAAACTGAAGACTTAAGCTCATCTTTTGGCTTTAAGCACATTCTATTCGGCCATTTTGATCAAGATTTCATAAAGACATGAAACGATCTTATTGAAAACGAGGCTACAGTTATGTGACAACCGACACGTAAAGCAATGCCATTCGGAGCTGAAAACCATTACTTTCATTTTTTTTTAATATAACTAATGTTAGAAGAATATATCAGATTCTTTCGTAGAATATAGTGAGTTATTTGATAAAGTAATACATTTTTTTAACTTCATAAATAGAATAAAGGAGGAATTATGACATTTTTACCGAAGCTTGATTTTAAAATATGACGGAAACATTTTTAATAGAAAAAGCGTAAAATCTAAGAAAGAAAGAAAGAAAGAAAGAAAGAAATGACAAGGAGAACAATTGAAGAAACAGAGGAAAGAACAGAATTTAACAGAAAAGAGAATAAAAAAAGAAAAAGGAAAAATACCTAAAATGTATGAAAAGTGAGAAACAAAAAGACTTATAAAAAATAATAAACAAAGTGAGGAAAAATGAAGGATGAATTAAATTTAAGAAACCAATGAAAAATACATTAGAAGAATGAAAGAAGGAATTACATTAGAAAATTGCAGAAGAGACGAAAGAAAGAAAGAAAGAAAGAATCCATTATCAAAGAAAATAGCACAAAAAAGAAATGAAATAAAAAAATAACAAGGAAGAATCATATCAAAAAGATAAAGGGAAGGAATTACATCGAAAATGAACAAAAAAAATCCTATGTCAGTAAAGAAAGAATGAATAATTACATTAGAAAAGCAGAACAAAAAAGGAAGGATTATATCAAAGACAGAGAATTTTCTGAGAAAAAGAAAAGAAAAAATAAGAATTAATTCGAAGATGGAATAAAGAAGAAAAAATATAAGATAAAAAAATAATTACATCAGGAGTGAATGAAAAACAAGAAGAATTATACAAATAAACAGGAAATGAAAGAAAAACAAAGCAAATATATATCCAAAAAATAAATAATTACAACAGAAATGTAAAAAGAAGTATTAAAGAAAGAAGGAATGAAAGAAAGACAGAAGGAATGAAAGAAAGAAGGTATTCATGAAAGAATGAATGAAAGAAAGAAAGAACGAAAGAAAGAAAGAATGAAAGAAAGAATGAAAGAAAGAAAGAATGAATGAATGAGAGAAAGAAAGAATGAATGAATGAAAGAAAGAATGAATGAATGAGAGAACGAAAGAAAGAAAGAATGAAAGAAAGAAGGAATGAAAGAATGAATGAATGAGAGAAAGAAAGAATGAATGAATGAAAGAAAGAAAGAAAGAAGGAATGAAAGAATGAATGAAAGATATGAGAAAGAAAGAATGAATGAAAGATAGAAAGAATGAATGAAAGAAGGAAGGAATGAAAGAAAGATTGAATGAGAGAAAGAAAGAAGGAATGAATGAAAGAAAGAAAGAAAGAAGGAATGAAAGAATGAATGAAAGATATGAGAAAGAAAGAATGAATGAAAGATAGAAAGAATGAATGAAAGAAGGAAGGAATGAAAGAAAGATTGAATGAGAGAAAGAAAGAAGGAATGAAAGAAAGAAAGAATGAATGAAAGAGTAAAAGCAAGAAACAAAAGATCTAAGAATAAAAATGGTAAACATGAATCAGAACACAACGTAAAAAAGAAAAGAAAAATCAGTCCTAGAAAAAGAAAGAAGGAATTGTAATCGAACAGAAAGAAATCCTGAATTATTTATTAGAAAAATAAAAAGAAGTAACCAACTTTTTGTAACCATAGTGATAAAAGAGAAGAAGAAAGACAGATGAAAAAAGTAAGAGAAAAAAAAAATAATTCAATATGAAAATAGAAGATGAAAGAAACAAAAAGAAATGATCATGGCGTATATTTATCATATTCCTTCGAACGAACAAACCCACCCCATTTTAGAAAAGTAGCAATGTACGGATAAACGCTTCTATTCCGTTTTTTTCTTTAAATACCCATATGAATATAAGATTGCGAATCGCTGACACATTGGCACCTTTGACATAAAAGGTTTATTTTAGGATAAAGAAAATAAATGACCGTTTCTCTAATGGAATGGTCGTCAGCTAACCTGGAAGATACTGCGAGACTTGCAAACATTTCTGCAATCCTGATTGGAGTCTTTCAAATCGTGCCAGTATCTTGGCACCTTCTTTGATCAGGCATCACAACTGCCATTTTTGTCAATAGCAATTGAGCTATTTTTGACGCTACTATTTTTACCATCTTAGCTGTGCTAAAGATTTTACATCACACGTTGTATTTTCTTGCGAATAACACGAGAAATGGTGAACAAATTAAAATGAAAAAGGAGACCGTATCGGAAAAAATACAGGTTATCAGAAATTTTTATTTAACGTAAAAGTCCACTTATTTGTAATAGCTAGATTGTTATTAAACCCAATTAGCACAGAACATAATAAAACAAAAAATAGGCAGGTGTTGATAGCATTTGATTACAAACGGTATTTGATATGGCAATTCTATAAGCGTAGCTTAGACGTGGCACAAGGCTATAAGTGTTGGGTACCCAGCGTAGATCGAACTGACTATTGAGTCGGATGTGATTTAGAGAGACGAGTTTGCTAGACATTACACCAAATCAAATTATCCACATAGCTATACAACAGGTGGAAACAAATATTCATACACATACAAATCTTTCATTTATTGTATTTCTAGCTAATGGCTAAACATATATTTCATATTATTAATTGTACACAGGTGCATAATAAACAAAATATGCATAGAAAACAGAAAAACTTTGATTTAATAGAAATAAATCCCATTTATCCATTTAAATTGGTGAAAAAAGTATTCGTACAATGCAAATTTCAGATTTTAAAAATTTAAATTGCTTTAATACTCTAGATTATTCAAGTGAAATATTCTAGAATGTCCCAATAATGTTTTCAGTAGTTATATTTAGCCTAAAAATACAAACACAACTTTCTATAATTGATATTCGTGCAAGAAGGTTATCATCATGGCAAGAGGTAAAGAATTGACAAATTCGCAAAAAGATGTCATTAAGTTCTGAAAAGATGGTAAAAGTTATAGGATAATCCCAGAAAACATGAATATTCTATTTATTATATTAGTTCATTCATTTCAAGGTATAAAAAAGTCAAAACTGTTAGAAACTAAAGAACATATGCTCCACGGACGATTTCTTCAAGATCTTCGAGGAAATTAATGCGTCAAATTAAACAAAATCCAATGGTTGCATGTTAAAGTTGCCGGACGATTTGCTTTCATCAAGAAATCTGTGTCACTTAATGGGCAGTAAGCAATGAAATTCATAGGAACAATTCAAAATCACACTCCCCTTGGAAAACTCCACTGATATTGAAAAGACACAGATATCTCAGGTTGAAATTTGTTCGTGAAAATAAGGATAAAGAAAAATCGTATCGTGAAAGTGTATTATGGACAGACGAAAAGAAACTTGAGCTGTTTGCACGTAATTCTAGAAATCATATGCGGAGGAAATATGGCGATGCCTTCAAACAAAAGAACACAGTTCCAACAGTGATATTTTGTGATGGCAGCATTATGGTTTGGGAATGTTTTCTGCAAAAGGTACTGGCAACATATCGGTAATAGATGGTAGAACGAGTGCCGCAGCATATCAAAATATTTTGGGCGCAAATTTAATGAATTTGGTTGAAAATCTTGAAATTCCTCCTGACTGGGTCTTCCAACAATATAATGAACGTAAGTACACTGCAAAACCTACGAAGAAATAGTTTGCTAAAAATAATGTAAGTATCCTGAAATGGCCAAGTCAGCCTCCAGATTTAAACCCAATCGAGAATCTGTGACGTTATTTGAAAATTCAAATCCGATTGAGAGCTCTAACGAACATCCCAGATCTGATGACGATATGTGAAGAAGAATAGAACAAAATACCAACTAAAATTTATAGATAGATAGATAGATAGATAGATATGAACAGATTGAGATAGATAGATAGATAGATAGATAGATAGATAGATAGATATGAACAGACTGTGATAGATAGATAGATAGATAGATAGATAGATAGATAGATAGATAGATAGATAGATATGAACAGAGATAGATAGAGAGATATGAACAGACCGTGATAGATAGATAGATAGATAGATAGATAGATAGATAGATAGATAGATAGATAGATATGAACAGACTGTGATAGATAGATAGATAGATAGATAGATAGATAGATAGATAGATAGAAACAAACTGAGATAGATAGATAAATAGATAGATAGATAGATAGATAGATAGATGTTTTCAAAAACTTTTACTCGGCTTAAACATCCACTTATTTATAACAGCTAATCTGCAAGTACACCCATTTAGCACGATACACAATAAAACAAAATAGGCAGGTGTTTATAACAATTGCATACACAGAGTATTTGATATTTCTGCAATAGTTGTTTTTCTTTCGTCTTCATGAAACAAAATAAGTCTTTTTATTTTCATAATTTATTACTATATGGAAATATAATAAAGTGATGGCTGAACTTCCGGTTTATTTCAATTCTTTAATGTCCTGAAAAGTTAAATATTTTAGTAAAATATATGAACGACATTGAGATTTTAATGGATATTATAGTACACCTTTAAAATATATATATATGTATGACTGTAATACAGGGTCATATTATATTCAAGGATGTAATTTATTCACTGTTTTTACGA